CTTCTTCTTCTTCTTCTTCTTCTTCTTCTTCTTCTTCTTCTTCTTCTCCTTCTCCTTCTCCTTCTCCTTCTCCTTCTCCTTCTCCTTCTCCTTCTTCTTCTTCTTTTTTTTTTTTTTTGAGACAGGGTTTCTCTGTGTAGTTCTGGCTGTCCTGGAACTCACTCTGTAGGCCAGGCTGGCCTCGAACTCAGAAATCCACCTGCCTCTGCCTCCCAAGTGCTGGGATTAAAGGCGTGTGCAGGACTCTACTTCTAACATCTAGATTCTTAGCCCCTGTGTGCTAGTTTTTATAGGCGGAGTGAAATAACCAAGGCATGATATTTATGAAGAAGAGAGGTTTACTGAGCTCACACTGTGTCTCACACATACTCTGCCTCTCACACTGTTCCTCACAACGCCAGGTCACGCCACATGTCCTTATGAGCCCTCTCCATGGCTGGAATGTTCATAGACTTAGAGGGACCATTCTCATTTCTAACCACTATATTTCTGTTGTCTGTAAAATTCCTGTGATTCCTTGTTGGATGACTCTGAGAGAAACAGTGGCCCAGGTAAGATGGCATGTATTAATAGCATGTGCTCTTCAAAAGAAATTGTCTTTCAAAGCTGTTAACTAATTGAAATGAAGATTGCTGGGAATGTAAGAGGCATTAGGGGAAGAGGAGACACTGTCTGATGGATTTTCTTTCTTTTTAGGAATTACCCTTGTGTCCATGGTTGTTCCTGTGGCCTCTGGCATCTATGTGAATTATAGATGGCCAAAGCAAGCAACAGTCATTCTCAAGGTCAGGAATCCCCTCCCATGCACATCACATCACCAGATGCAGAGACTAAAAGAACCAATGAGCTGTCGCAGTACAGCCCCTTCCGGTCCTGTGCCTGGAGCTCTGTTACTCCCAATGGCCCACACAGGCTGTGGCACCTTGGAAAACGTGATGCTCCAAGAGACAGAAACACTAGGGCTGGGCATGGGCTAAGAATGCCTGGCCCGGCCCCTCCCCTAGGCTTCCCACAAGCGCCTGCAAGGTGAGGCTCCTCCCTGCAGTGAGCACAATGCCCCAGTGTCGGGGAGCATGGGAGCTTTCTTAGAACAGGATGGAGAGCTGTCTTGCCAAAGCACTCCCAGGAACACACCACTAGACTTGTAATTGGTGTACACAGCAAGGACTGCTGACCTCATGACACCATGTCGATGTGGGTGAAATCACCCCGAAAGTGCTGAGGAGTGGCCACGGAATGGAGGGAAAGCAGGCATCCCAGCTTCCCTTGCTTCCCAGTGCTGTCTTTTGTCTGCTTGAGAAACAAGTACTTGTCCTTGCCAGATGACTGTTAACATCACCCCAGAAGACAGAAGTTTGTGTTTCTTCAATGCTGAAAAGGGATCTCAGCTTATTTTACATTATAAAGAAATGAGTGTTTGGGGGTTCATTGGAGGTTCAACAGAAACATTTGTTCATTTCAGCTTGGGGTTGATAGCTTGGTCCAACCTAAGCTCACTCTGTCTTCACTGCCTCCTTTCCTAGTTGATCAATGCCTAGTCAGAGCCAGACAGGATGGAGGAGGCAGGCTGTGTGTCGGGAGCACGGTGCCTTGCACACTGGAAGACTTAATTTCACTCTGGGCTGTACTCATGGGACAAAGCCCCTCCTTTCTCAGGCTTATCACTGTCACTTTAAAAGGGGGACACTCCCAGTGGGAAATGTTCACAGAGCAAGAGGACAGTGTGATCATGGAAATTTTCAAGTACTTTGTCATTGATTATTTTTTTTAAAAGGGCATTCAATGATGATGACAATTAAGAATATCTTACTTTAGCCTTTCTCTGCACTTGTGACTTTTGTCAGTGTTAGTGGAGAAACAGGATACATTTTTCTGTATGTCCATTTTGTTATCTGTAGAGAACAGGTTTTAAAACTCCTTTCTTGAGGAAAGCATGGTGGCACACGCTTGGAATCCCAGCATGTGGGTCACAGAGGTAGGAGAAGTGTCTGCTACATAATAAATCTAAGCTTAGCCTGAACCTCATGGGACCCTATTGTCCTCCCCCAAGCAAACAAATTCTTTCAGCAATTCTCTGGGATTTATATTAGAACATATTAAATAATATGCATAAACTAGACCCCACAGTTTAATCATTATTTTAGTATTTTTATTTATTTTGAGGTATAGCCTCAATGTGTAGCACAGGCTGGCCTTAAACTCAAGGTCCTGCTACATCAGTTTCACAAGTAGCTAAGATCAGGGCCATGTGCCTACACTATGCATTGGCCTGATACAATGTGTCAGCTCTTATCCTTGGGTTTTACACACCTTCTCAGTAACATGCTTCTAAAGGATTTTAAACGTTGACATTGCTTTTGATAGAGGCAGACTCTGACAGTGAATGCTTTGTGTGACTCAGCATTTCCCCACCAGGCCAGAGCCCATGTGTCCCTGTATTTAGACCCACCCTCCAATCTATGGTACATTTCTTGTTTTATTTGTACATTAGTTACTTTTGCATACTTGTGGCAGCATGTGTGACCTAAGCAACTCAAGAGGGGGAAAGTTGGCTCACAGTATGGTCATTCAGTCTGTGTTCACTGAGTAGTGTGTTCTGGGCCTGTTTAAGGCAGAACATCATTGAGGCATGGATGTATGATACAAGAGAGCTGGTCAAGACAGGCAAGGGCCAGAAACAAAACACCCTCAGGGACCTGCACCTTAGTGACCCATTTATCTAGTTCTCACGTCTCGACCTTAATGCTTTAGCACCTTTCAAAATAGTGCAACTGCTAGATTTCTAGGCTTTAACACAAGAACATGCAGGAATTGTTTCATATTCAAACCATAATAACTTGTTTCCATTTTCTTTAGTACTTCAGGGACTCCTTTGGGTCTTAATACTTCAAATAAAGACTGATATAGTAACTAGGTCATCTTTCCACAGTCTGCTGTCCCTAAGAGACCAATGAGAGCTTGCAAAAATCCAAATTGCTCTAAGCATCTTGTGGTCTAAACTCAGACATTAGAATGTTTTGGATTTATTGACATTTTTTAAGAGAGAGAGAGGGAATGGGAGAGAGAGAAGGGGAGGGGGAGGGGGATAGCAGGAGGGAGAAGAAGAGGGAGAGAGAAAGGGAGAGGGAGAGGGAGAGGGAGGAGGAGGGAGAGAGAAAGAAGTTATTATATGTAGCTCAGGTTGTCTGGGAGCCAGGCTGGCCTAGAGCTTGTGGCAGTCCTCCTGCCTTTATCTCCTTAGTTCTGGGGTTCTAGGTATATGCCTCAGCTCACATCCAGATATTGTTTTCATTAAATCACAAAAATAAGAGACAGTATCCATGTGAGGGAGGATAGAACACTTCTCTTCATGTTTGCTCAGATAGTCTAGTGGAAATGGGTATGTTTTTGTCTTGGTAGAGAGAGGCAGGGGGATAAACAGTAGGAGGGTGACCATGAGGTTGATTGTCAGGACAGATAGGCCATGAACAGGTGCTACCAGAAAGGGGCCTTTGGTGTGTGTGTGTGTCAGCTGCTGCTGTCATTTGCCTTTCTGAGATGTCAGGTTTGGTCCAGTGTGTGAGCTGGAGATCTTAGTGCCTGTAAGAGGTGGGACCTGCTACTAGGTAATCGAGTCATGAAGGCATCCCTTGTGGAAGGCGTGAGTGGAGGCCTGAGGGGCTGGGTTAACTCATGTGAGGATGGCTTGCCATGCAGAGCCTGGCACTGTCTCCAAGTTCTTTCGTACACACTGTTTACCACTCTCTCCTGTGGTCACACTACTGTGACGACATCTGTCATGAGACTTCAGCAGTGCTGAGCGATGCCATTGTTCCTGACTTCTGCATTTCAAGTCAAAAGAACTCTATAGAAAGTGCCCCGAGTCGAGTATTTTGTGACAGCATTAGAAATGGAAAAGAAGACACTGTCAGGGTCTGGATATTTTATAATTTCATCTTATTTATGAAAGCCAAGTCCTCCAGTTTACTTCTCTACTTGAAAAAGAAATATGCTGGAGGCAGAGGCAGGCGGATTTCTGAGTTTGAGGCCAGCCTGGTCTACAGAGTGAGTTTCAGGACAGCCAGGGCTACACAGAGAAACCCTGTCTCGAAAAACAAAAACAAACAAACAAACAAAAAAAGAAATATGCTGATCCTAAAATAAGACATTTCTGTCCAATCCTACTAATTTCTTACAGTTCAGTCTCTTCACTATTGTGGAGCTGGTATTTTCCTAGATACAGTATTTCCCCATTCAGTCTTGCTTTCTCGAGGTTCTGCTCTCTGAGTTAAACTGTAGAAAAACATATTAGATGGAAAAATTCCAGAAATAAACAACTCATCTATTTTAAATTAGGCAGCCTTGTACTTAGTGTAATGAAATCTTGCACTGACCTGTTTACAACATGAGGTGTCCCTTCACCTTGTCTGTGATGATTTGACACCAGACTCAAGAAGGTTTTATCACAACCTCAGGTCAGGAGAGTCCTTCCTAGACCGGAAGATCTCTGAAGTCATTGTCCTTAGCATCTAGTTAGCTTTAATCATCAACTTGACACAGTCTAGTGCTATCTGAGAAGAAAGCCTCAACTGAGGAGTTTTCTGGATCAGATTGGCCTTCGGGCACACCTGTGGAATGGTTAGTCTTATTGATTGATGAAAGAGGGCCCAGACCACCATGGGTGGCACCATACCTAGGCAGATGGTCCTGGGCTTTATAAGAAAGTTAACTAAGCTGGGAGCTTAGTTAACTAAGAAGGAGCTTTATGGATCCAGTTCCCAAGGGGCTACCTATGGTCCAATAGATGGCCCTATCCCTATGTACACACTGGCAGCTGTAATTGGACCTCATGACTTTAAGAGAAAAGAACACATGAAATTGGGCGGAAATAGTGGTAATGACATAGAGGAGTACTGAAGAGGAGGACATGGGGAGGGATTTGATTAAGACCCATTGTAGGCATGTATGAAATTCCCAATAAATAAAAATAAGATCAGCTTAAAAAAACAAAAAAAAACAAAAAACAAACAAACAAAAACAACCTTGGGCTGGTGAGATGGCTCAGTAGTTAAGAGCACTGACTGCTCTTCCAGAGGTCATGAGTTCAAATCCCAGCAACCACATGGTGGCTCACAACCATCTGTAACGATATCTGATGCCCTCTTGTGGGGTGTCTGAAGACAGCTACAGTGTACTTACATATAATAAATAAATAAAAATAAAAAAAACCCTTAATGTCTTCAACATTTTTCCATGAAATATTATATGTTACATATGTAAGTAATGTGTGTATATAATATTTATTTTTAAAAATTTTTTTTAAAAAAAGAAAAGAAAGCTAGCTAAGCACGAGGCTGAGAGCAGCCCAGCAAGCAGTGTTCCTCTGTGAGTCCTGCCTCACGTTCTTGATTTCTTTCAGTAGCGGACAGAAACCTGGAAATGTAAGCTCAATAAACTCCTTCCTCCTCTATGTTGCCTTTAGCTAGGGTGTTTCATTACAGCAAGAGAGAGGGAAGTAGACTGTAACGATGTTAGTGTCACTATTTCTATTACTTCCCATTTATTATTTACATGTCTTAAGTCTGTGTATTTTTGTACCATTATCCCTGGTCTTGGTCAGGGATAACCCATCTGCTCGTCTGCCGCTCGTCTTTAATCTACTTCATCATAGTTACGCCTGCACAGCAGGAGCACAGCCCAGGTGTTGTACAGGATACAGCATTAACCATATCTGAGTTCAGGAACTCGCTGGGCACTGTGGAACACACTCATTGTGCACAAGACAAGGAAGGCGACTTTAACAGGAAATTGGATGTGGCAGCCTCTGAGTTCTTCTACAACTTCTGATGGTCAAACCTTTCACATCTGCGCTGAGCTTGGCATCGTGGAGGGAAGAACCCTGACATTGCTCACAGGCACTTACTTATCTTGCTGCTTTCCTGTAGGTCGGGGCCGCAGTTGGTGGTATGCTCCTCCTGGTGGTGGCAGTTACTGGCATGGTCCTGGCAAAGGGCTGGAACACAGATGTCACTCTTCTGGTCATCAGCTGTATTTTTCCCCTGGTTGGTCATGTCACGGGCTTCCTGTTGGCCTTCCTCACCCACCAGTCTTGGCAAAGGTACAGTCCCATAACCTATAAGGTATGTGTGTGTGGTGTGTGTGTGGTGTGTGTGTGTGAATGTGTATCTGAGTGCATGCAAGTGCCTTATGCGTGTTCATGGTTATTAATTCAGTACTTTTACTCTGGTTGAAAACAGGGTCTTGGCCATGTAGTTCTAGTGGCCTTGAACAATGTCCACCTGCCTCAGCCTCTTGAGTGACCGGATTAAAGATGTGTGTCACCACATTCTGTAGTAATATCTTCTAGAGCTAGCTCTATCAGATACACATGTGATTGTTGATATAAGATGCTAATTGCGTGCCTATTATAAAGGTAAAAATGGAAACAATGTAAATATCTAAGAATAGGGACATGTTTATTTATGAAGCATGCCAATGCTAGGTACGAAGCATCAAACCTCAATGATGCCAGGACGACACTCCAGAGCTAAACTTGTTTAAAAATTTTGATTTCTATTTTTTTTTGGGGGGGGGGGGGAGCAAAAAGAATAAGGAAAAATATTGGAAGAAATTGTAATTTTGAGCAGTGAAGTTAAGGGTGATTTCAATTCTTTCATATTTCCTGGGAATGTTTTTCATTTTTCAGTAAGTGGATTTATTTGAAATCAGAGAAGGAGTACAGTAACGTGTCTGGGTGGGGAAGGGTTAGGTCTGTCTTAAGCTGTTCCCATTCCATCTGGGAACGTTGTACAAGCACAGGGCGAGGCCCCACCCATCTATCCGGCTTTCTTCTTGTTGCAACCTGACAGACAGTTATGATTACTCCACTGATGAGGAAGCCCTTCAGGGAGGATTAGGAAGGTCATCAAGGTCCTAGAGCTAGAAAGTGGTAGAGTTTGGTTTTGAACCTGGGCTTGTTTCCTGGTCAAGGGCATAGACTGCTGAAGGCTTGAGGCTGATGACCCGGTTTGCAGAGGAAGAAAGAACTCTTATGACAAGGTGTTGTCAGCTCTTTAGCCTTTCTCATATCTCATAGCCAGACAAGGACCAGAGGTAATTGCATTTTCTTTGTGGGTGGTCCCTGTGAGCTGCAACTTTGTAGCACTGTGACTTTGAGCTAGGAAATCTGAGGGAATTGCTTTGCACAAAGGTAAGGAAATACAATGTGGCTCAGACCTTGCCACTCAAAAATTTTCTAACCTCAAATTGCACACCCTGTGGCCTCCATGTGGAATCCCAGCTCCAGCTGAACAAACGGCTTTTAACCTTTCACTTTACGTATGTCGGCTGCGGGCTCCATATAAATCGAGACAAATGGAGATGCTTGACCCAACCTCCATGCTCTAGCTTGTACTTCCCCTTTCTCTCATTTTTTTTTCCATCTTCAAGTAAGATTCCTTTCATTTTCTGCAATCAAAACAAATAAACAAACAAAATACAACAGATGAAAAAAAAGTAGAAATGAAAGAAATTTATTATTGAACTCTTTACCAAAAGCAACCTTTCCTGACATTTGCTTTTCATCTAGAGTTTTTGGTGCTTTTTAGTTTGTTCAGTTGCCAGCCTCTGACTCAGTTTCCCATTCTCATCTCCTCCAGTCCTTTGCATGTGGACTGGCTTGCACTACAAGAAGCACCTCCTCAGGAAACCATGCTCCCACTGTGCATGCAACTTTTCCTTCTGCCTCTCCCTGACATGAGTCACCCTTTCCTGTTCTGTAGCTCCAGCCTCTGCAAAGCTTTCTGGAGTTACTTTCACTCGGCTGAGTTTCTGTAGCATCTTCTGGGCCTGATCACTAGTGCACATTGTTTTCTGGTGTGCGTGCTGTCCTTCTACCCCGAGTTCTTGGTTAGGGATGTTGAGATCCTATATTTCACAGGGCATCCTTGCCATATACACATGAGGACCCCACTACTGTCAAGGAACACATCCTTTTTGTTGCCTGAGCCTGTACTTGTCCTTATTCAAAGGGAACGCTCAAGCATGCCCTTTTGCTACTTTGTAATTCTTGACTCTTTTCACCACCAGGTGTAGGACGATTTCCATAGAGACGGGAGCTCAGAATATCCAACTGTGCATCGCCATGCTGCAGCTGTCCTTCTCTGCCAAGTACCTGGTCCAGCTGTTAAACTTCGCCTTGGCCTACGGACTCTTCCAAGTGCTGCATGGGCTGCTCATTGTAGCGGGTGCGTGAATTCCCTCTGCACACCAGTAACTGATTTATTAACACCTTCAAGCCAGCTTTTGGGGTACTGCTCTTGTGATGTATTTTTAACCTGATACTTTTGGGGATCATAATGTATGAAGCCAGGGTTCTTCAATGCAGTGGATGTTTCATAGAAAATACTTTAAAAGCCATTTGAGTGAGATCTTTTAAGCAGAAACAAGTCACTGCACAAAACCATCACAAGAGCTTTTATGTCCTGTCTTAGAGTCTTGAGCTTTACTAAATACTCAGTTGCTTCTGTGCTACAGACACTAAAACTTAGGCTGTGGCTGCAAAGTATTTTTCAAATACATAACACATACACAGAAGTATAGACACAGTGAGATTTTATGCACATGTATATCCAAAACAGGCTACTCTCCCATATGCTCAGCTAAATATGCATTATTTGTGGGTAAATCCTTATGTATGGAAGGGAAATTGCAAGAAGGTGTGAATACACACATGTACAGGTACATTTATTTTGGCCTTGGAATACTCTCTGAGTATGGTTAGTGATTATTTATAAACTTGATTAAAAATTGTATATTTTTCTATTGCTGTGATGAAATGCAATGCTTAAAAGCAACTTATAGAAGAAAGACCTTATTTTGGTTTACAGTTCCAGAGAGAGAGAGAGAGAGAGAGAGAGAGAGAGAGAGAGAGAGAGGGGGAGAGGGAGAGAGAGGGAGAGAGAATGAATGAGACCATAATGGTGAGGGAGGCATGGCAGTAGGAGGCAGAAACAGACAGTTTTATGCATACACGCATGCATACATGTACTTGCTTAGGTAGGCTGCTCATGTTTCACCTTTGAACAGGAAGCAGAGAGAACACAGGAAGTGGGGACAAGCTATAAAACCCTATCAGTGTCCCCAGTGAAGTATTGCCTCCAGCAAGGCTGTGTCTCCTAAACATTCTACAATGCCTGTAAACAACACTCCACACTGGCTACCAAGTGTTCAAATACACAAGCCTCTGGGGCCCATTCTCATACAAATTACCACACATACTGATTATTATATGCTATTGGTATAGCAACAGTGATGTGAGGAACACTTGGGATGGGGGTGGGGGGGAGAGGGGAGGAGGAGGCAGGGTTTCCTGGGGGATAGAAAAAACAGCTCTATTAGCACAATCTATTAGCACAAACTCCTGAGTTCTGAGACCCAAAGGTTTAGAGAAACCTCATGCTGAGCTTTGCAGCTACATCGCAGCACTCATGCAAGTATCAGAGGCACAGTAAGCACCTCACAAGGGTTTGTTGACTGAGTGAATAAGCTCCAAGAGAGCTGATAAACAAATCCCAACTCTGGATAGAAAGATCCATTCTGCTACACCACATGTGTTCATTCTGCAGATTTATTTTCTCCTTTTCTTCCCCTGTTTCCACACATGGATCTCCCCAGAGTATGGATGAATATGTGGTGTCCCTCAGTTGTGCTCTCTGCTAAGGTGATTTTAATGCTGCTTGTTTTTATGCCCAGCATATCAGGCATACAAGAGGAGACAGAAGAGCAAACATAGGAGGCAGCACCCAGATTGCCCAGACATCTTCTACGAGAAGCAGCCCAGAGAGACGAGTGCTTTCTTGGATAAAGGGGACGGGGCTGCCGTAACTCTGGGGCCATTGCAGCCAGAGCAGCACCACAGGGCTGCTGAGCTGACCAGCCACATTCCTTCATGTGAATAGTGGGAGACACAGACCAGCTTGGCCCTCCATCTTCCTCTGTGGCCAGTGAAGACCATGTGTGATTGGCAGTAAGCAGCAGGCATCTCCCCGAAAAGCTGTGGAATGTAACTCGAGAGAGAACACCATGTAGAGGAGACATCACTCATACTGCAGGACGGAGCGTCCACAAGCTTCTTGACTTTAGGCAGGTGCTCTGGAGGACTAGCAGAGACACTAAGAGAAGCTTAGCTTCAGTGATGTGATTCTTATTCTTAAAGGAATCAGACATCGTTTAATTATTATTATGATTATGTGTGTAACACAAGCAGGCTAGCTCTGTCTCTTGAGAAGGACAGGTGCCCAGAATCTCCAAACCGTAGATACACAGGCTCGCCCCAGTCTCCAAAACAACAGAGACACATGTGCATCCGTTCACATATTCTGAGCACCAAATCACCAGAAAAGCCTGTAGCTTGTTTCCTGGTGTTTTGATAGTCGATCAATGATTAGCTCAAACATCTTTGTACATCTGTGTTACCTACCTCATTCTTTAGAACAGTGGCTGCATCCAAGTGTTGTATAATATAGGACTATAATTTATTGAAGGAATCTTTATTAGTATTTAGATACCTTCCAGCACAAGGCTGCTGGGAACCCCTGGCCCTCACCCCACGTCCCCATAGGCTCCTTCCTGCAGCTCCAGTGGACAGGCCCACAGCTCCTCAAAGTTCTGGATAGACTGTTCCGTCTCAGAAGGGCTTTGTCGTTCACTCTCACCAGTCCTAAGAAATGATTTCTCATCTCTTTGACTTGTGAAAACATCTCATTAAAATTATGATCTCAGGGGCTCAGAGGTTAAGAGCACTGGCTGTTTTTCCAAAGGTCCTGAGTTCAATTCCCAGCAACCACGTGGTGGCTCACAGCCATCTGTAATGGAGTCTAGTGCCCTCTTCTGGCTTGCAAGTATACATACATGTAGGCAGAATACTGTATACATAATGAATAAAAAAAATTAAAAAAATTATGATCTCAAAATTATCAACCAGAACACTTTTATGTTCATTTACTTCTCTGTGTGTTTGTCCCTGTCGTTTTTCTTTTTCTGTGATATTTTTCTATTGCCTTTTTTGAAGACAGGATCTCACAGGGTAGTCTAGGGTAGCTTTAAGCTTTCAAAAGATCCTCCTGCCTCAGTCTCTCTTGTCCTCCCAAGTGCAGTGTGAGCCACTGTTCCCAATGGCTTTGCTTTTCCTTTGGAGTCAACTGTGCCCTGGTCCTGGGTACTGCCACCAGTCTCTCAGCTTTTGTGTCTTTGGCTGTTGAGATTCTTCTAGTTCTCTAGTCTTTTAAAAAATGGTGGTAAAGGCCAGAAGCCGGGATGTTAATTTTTGTGTAGGTTATAGGTTGTCATATGCCCCCAGGAGAGAATGCATGTGGCGTCTTTGCAGTTGTTTTTTTGGGACTTCCAGCTTTCCTCTCATTGGTAGGAATTTGCCACATGGTAGGTGGTGCCTCGCAGGGAGTAAAATCTGCCCCTCTCTATCCTGACACCATTAAAAACAGTTTCCTGTTTGCTCTTTTGTTTCCTCTATGAATGTAATATGTGGGTGGCTATCCCCATTGTTTTTTAAACACATTCTTGGTACAGTGTGTTAAAATTCTATTTAAAAAAATCTGTTCTTGCCGGGCGGTGGTGGCACACGCCTTTAATCCCAGCACTTGGGAGACAGAGACAGGTGGATTTCTGAGTTCGAGGGCAGCCTGGTCTACAGAGTGAGTTCCAGGACAGCCCGGGCTACACAGAGAAACCCTGTCTCGAAAAAACCAAAAAAAAAAAAAAATCTGTTCTTTACTTTTGTTTATGCAGGTGTTAGGGCTCATGGCATGCGTGTGGAGGTCAGAGAACAGCCTCATGTATTAGTCCTCGCCTTCTGCCTGGCTTAAGGTGGGATCTCGTGTTGGCCACTGTGTGTACCAGGGTGGCCGGCCAGTGAACTTCAGGGGTATCTGTGCAGTCTAGGTTCATTATCACAGCAGCATATACTCAACCATGTATCTCTTCTGTGCACACTGAAATGTTTCCTTTATCCCATAACCTCATCCATACATCTTATTTATTTTATTTACTTAGTGGTGGTAGGGTCTGAACCCAGGGACTCACGCATACCAGGTAAGCCCTCTGCCACGGAACACACATACAGTCCTCTATGTAATGGCTACGTTGTTGATTTTTGTAATGTGAGAGAGCGTGTAATCTGGGGTTAAATGTTTTACTCATTTGTCTTGTAAGTTTTCTCCATGTTTTGGGTGAGTGTGACTTCCGTGATTCTTAAGACAGTTTTCCAGTTCAGAGTATTTCTGTGGCAGTATAAGAAGGATTCAGAAAAACAAATATTCACGTTTGTAACGTGATTGCTAGTTCCTAGCTGTTGTTTTACTACTCAGGGAACATTTGCTTTCCATTTGATAGATGTTCAGATGAGAGCTGGTCGGCTGTGTATGGCCTCACAGGAATAGCAGAGCAGAGAGCAGAGAGCAGAG